CACACACACATACACACACACATACAAAGCAGGACGTGCTGCTCACCTAAAGCCGGAACGGCTAGCACTAGCACCTGGATGAAGATCTGCTTGAAGACGTACATGTCTATGGCAAAGGCGCCCTCGAAGATGAGCACGGGCAGGAAGACGTAGAGGATGGTGTGCGGCCCAATGTCCGCCGCCTCGGACAGAGGGAGACAGCCGGCCACAGAGCCAACGAAGAAGATGACCACCGTGTAGGGTATGGGGAGGTGGAGGACATCTGTGGCATGCCGGACAAGAGCTGAAACAACACAGAATGGCGGGCGGGATATGTTTATGTTCATCCTCAGAAAGTGAACTGAAACAACACAGAATGGCGGGATATGTTCATCTTGAGAAAGTGAACTGAAACAACACAGAATGGCGGGATATGTTCATCTTGAGAAAGTGAACTGAAACAACACGAAATGATGGGATATGTTAAGTTCATCCTGAGAAAATGAACTGAAACAACACGAAATGATGGGATATGTTAAGTTCATCCTGAGAAAGTGAACTGAAACAACACAGAAAGGCGGGATGTGTTCATCCTGAGAAAGTGAACTGATACAACACAGAATGGCGGAATATGTTCATCCTGAGAAAGTGAACTGAAACAACACGAAAGGGCGGGATATTTCACCATACATCCTCAGAAAGTGAACCAGTATTGGCGAAAGAAATAAAAAAGTGTGCATGAATACATTTTTTTTTAAAGTAGAGATTTTACGGCGCTCGCAACTGCATTAAAGTATGAGGTCATATGAGCGCGAGAAGATTAGAGGTGTTACAAGAGAGTAACAAACGCAAAAAAGAAGAAGGGAAGATAAGGACGATAGATGTTCGATAGGAAAAAAGGAGCAGGCCACACCAGAGCACCCGCCAACCACCCACGAATGCAATTTGACTTCAAAATTAAAGGTATTCATCGTGTACTAATATTGCAACGCAACAATTCTGTGCTAGATCTATATGTAGCTTCTCTAATTGTATATCAACAAGCTTTTCATTCATTCACGTGCAATTTAGTTGTAAGTTGTAAGTCAAAACATTTTGTTTAGAAGTCTGTAGCGTTTATGAATGACTTTTTAAACGTAAATACTCTACGGCCCAACCGAACAAGAAACTTTATTTACAAAGATATACCAAGGACACAACCATTATTATTGCAAGGTTAAAATTAAAAGAAAAACCTACCACACATAATTTGCAGACTCATAGTATGCATACACAAAAAGAAACTGTCGTCTGCTTTCATTTCCACTTTCTGCCCTCACCCCCTCACCTCCTTTGCCCCCTCCTCTGGGCTCCTGACTCTTTCTGCAGCCTTTCTACTGCTACTCCTTGGCTCCTCCTTACTGCTGTCTTTCTGCCACACCCCAGATCATCTGGTAGGGAAGATCTACACCTAGCCTTCTCGGACAAGGGCGAAAAATCTCGGAGGGCCCGTGTGCAAGTTGCGTACGTTAAAGATCCCTTGGTGGTCTAAAATCGATAAGAGTAGGCTTCGGACGCCACTCGGGCAAAATTCAAAATTTCCTACCAACTGAAAATGTTAGGTGTGTCCCGCGCGCTCATATGACCTTATGCAGTTGCGAGCGCCGTAAAACACTTTACAAAAACAAAACAAACAAACAAATAAAAAGAAAGCATGCATCCGTGGTTGGAATAAGTAACTTGTCAACTGTACAATCTAATCTGAAGCGCAAAGAAAAAATATAAGAACGACGGTGAAACACAAAGTAGGACAAACTACACTATAGCTTTAATGTCTCCCCCTTTTTCAAAAGTTGTTTGTATGCACAATGCTTGAACAAAGAGGGGGCAGGGATCTTAAACTGAAACTCTTGGGTTTATGACCTTGACTTTGAGATGAAAAATCCAGATCATAGGCCTAGGCCTAGATCTAGGTTGTTGTTTTTTAAGCAAAAACAATAAAAGTTGCAGAAAAGGAGCAGAAAAACAAAATACTTAATTACCACCAATAAAGGAACAGAAGAAAATCGAACTAGGCCTAGATATCTAGATCTAGATATAGATCTAGAACTTACAACCAATCAAAAACACTGCAAAGAGGCACAGCAGGTCCCATTGCATTTTGAGAATGGGGTCAGCCATGAACGGGTTCTTTCCATTTTGGGAGAACAAACTGTCAAACAGGGCCCCGATAGTAAATGTTGCCTCTGTAGCAGATTCTGTCTTGTTGTCGGCGAAGCTCCAGTTTTGTAGGCCTATGTCCGGGTGCATGATTGTTCTCGCGTCGAGTTGTCGAAATCTCTCACTGGTTCAACGGCTGGCTGTCAAATCCACTATCTCCTAGATCAAATAGAAATTAAACTAAATGAATAATAGATAGATAGATAGATAGATAAATAGATAGACTCTAGATAGATAGATAGATAAACAAGATTTCTATTTGAATTTACGAATGGGAACTGGCAGTCTGAAAATTCAAGAATAGTAACATTGGAACATAAATATGAGGCCCTCTCCTAGGCCTACTCTCTCCACTTTATCCATTCTGTCTGTCTTTGTGTCCCTTTCTCTCTCCTCCTACGGTTTGCATTACAAGTCTACCAATGACTAGATCTACTTCTACTAGGCTACCAAAGCTATTTAAAGACCTATAAAACAAAAAGAGAAGTGAAGCATAAGAGAAAAATACAGTGCAGAGAAAACCAAAGGGATCAGAGCGCAGCCCCTGCGTACATTCTTCTCATCAAGCCAAGTAGTTATATTGTCACAGTCTTTCTGACCAGATATAATGACCTAGAATCTAGACTCTAGTGTCTAGATCTAGAATCTAGATCTAGACTAGATTTAGTCTAGATTTTTTTAGATTTAGATCTAGCCTAGATCCAGATCTAGATCTAGATTCTAGATCTAGATCCAGACTAAAAAAGAAATAGATTCTAATAATATCTATCTCTAGATATAAATCTAGAGTGATTTTCCCTACGTGGGTAGCTTAGTGGCCCACGAGTGGGGTCGTGACTCTAGATCTAGATTCTATATCTAGATCTAGATATTAGATTTAGATCTAGATATCTAGACTCTAGATCTAATATATCTAGATCTAGAATCTAGATCTAGAGATTTTGATCTTCTAGATCTAGAGATTTTGATCTTCTAGATCTAGATTTTAAATCAAGGCCTACATCTCGACTAGCCTAGATCTAGATATAATAGATATAGAATCTAGATTCTAGATCTATATATCTAGATCTAATCTAGATCTAGACCTAAAATCTAGATCTAGATCTAGAATCTAGATCTAGATATCTATATCTATATCTAGATATAGTCTCACACTAGATCTAGATATAGTACAAATGTAGACTAAATGGATCTAGAATCTAGATCTATATCTAGGCCTAGATCTAGATTCTAGATCGAGACTTCTGGCGCCATGTTGGTTTGTTTACATCAGCAACCTGGATGACCTCTTGATAATATGACAGGTAGGCCTAGAGTTTTGATTTTATCGATCCAGAGATCCTCGTTCCGACTGACAAACTATAAGTTTTAGGGCGCACTTTTGGGTCGGCAATCAGTTGCAGTTGGATTCTTTCTGTTAGAAGAAATCTAGATCTAGATCTAGATTTTCTAAACCTGTGTCGCATTTGAGTTGCTGATGTAAACAAACCAACATGGCGGCGAGACGGCAAACCTTAACCAGTGCCGATTGAGACGCGTGCATCCGTCTTGCAGATCTACCGTAGATATCTAGAACTCTAGATCTAGATATCTAAATCTAAATTACTGTATATACACTCTTTCTTTTTAGATTTTAGATCTAGGTCTAGATATCTAGATTTAGATCTAGATCTAGATCAATTTACAAAAGAAGACATCCACTGTTTCGAGCAAAACACACATTCTTGTAGGCTAGGTTGGTTGGATGGAGGGAGGCGCGTTCGTTTAATGTTTAACTTTTAAAAATCAATCTGACCCTCAAGTGACCTCAGTGAAATGTGAACAATGAACAACTTCCTGTTTGTCCAATGCACAGAATGAACGCTCCTATTGACACAATACAACACAACCATCGTTGGTGGTAGGCAAAGCAACGGTGCAGCATCGATTCAGTTGTTTAATTTGCAGATGTCACTTTTTTGCTTATGGGAAATGATTTTAAAGTGTTATCCGTCATAAAAAACAGCAAACTGATAGTCCTAATGAAGGTGACATTTGCACTGTCCCCCAGAATAGTGAACTGTCTGTAGGCCTAGTAGACATAGATCTCGCCTAGACTCATGCGTTTTAGGAAGTTTTCTCAGAACGTAAATATAAAGAAAGGGGCAGGGATTCTAATTTTATAGGTTGATAGGTCTAGCTTTACTCTCAGTTACTTTTCTAGATATATAATGTTAGTCTTACTTTATTTTCAGTTGCTTTTTAAAAAATTCTAGCCTTACAGTCTCACTTTTTCCCTTGCTTCTTTTTCTTT